TTTATATATATAAAAGATGCATGAAATAATAATAGACTATAAATAAAAGAATAATAAATTAAATTAATTAAATATAGATACACTCCTTGATTCCGCCTTACATTTGATTTAGTTAATTTAAATTATCAGAAGTAATTGTTTATATACTTTGAAAATCCTCAATTACTCTTCTAATTTAGAAAATCAGTTACAACCAATTAATTTAAATAAATAAAATATGTATCTCATTTTAAAATTTTGACAGATACATGTATTTCACAGATTCTGAATCATGTGTCCTAAGTATGAAATATGGTAAAGAAAATAATATTTGAAAGTATTGAGAATCTTAATAATTAGGACCTAACCTAATGAAATTTATGTAGTTTGCCCTTTTCTTATTTCTCGGAGAATTTCAAATTTCAAATCATCATTTGAAATTATAATTCTATTCATATTTCATAAATAAATATTATTAATTTTAAATCCATGTCACAATACCTATGATCAAATGTCTGCTCAAGTTTGTCACTTGCCAATTAGTCACCGTCCCTGGTCATGTAAAATAAGTGCCTTATGTATTAAGTTTTAAGTCATCACACTATAAACATGCTAAATTACTTAGAGCACGCCCATTAAATATGAATTTTTCCAAATCTTGAGAGAAAAATATAAGTATAAATTATTGGCAAAGTAGGTGAAGATTATACGATCAAAATATGTTAAATTAATTATTGGATCAAGATCAAATTTGTTCAAAATTTATTTGGATAAAAATTTGTTGAGTCAAGATGGGTCAATAACAAATAATAATTCAATCCGATTAACAAAACCTAGCTTCTCTACTCATTTTATAGTGTATGAATTGAAATCATTAATACATCATTTTTTAAAATTATCATCACACCTGTGATTGAATGTAAGAAAATATTGTTGCGTGCATAGGCGGAGTTAGGTGGGGTTCAATTCGTTGAGGCAACTAAATTTTTTGATAAATTATTTGGGTTCAATTGAGGCAACTCAACAAATGAGAGTCATGAAAAATACTGAACGAATTGCCATAAATTATATTATTGGGATTGATTTTATCACCTCTACTAGCGTCTAGCATATTACTATCATCGATAAAAAGTTTTTTTTGCGGACTGTGGAAATAGTAATAGCATGTTTTAAGGAATCTAGAATTTTGGAAACAACTTTAGAAAGCTAGAATTTTTAGCCACGTTTTTAAGAAGTTAGAATATTATTTATTTTTTAAATAAAAAGAAAGAGTTAAAAGTACTTAATGTAAAGATTTGAGATATTTGGTCAAGTTTTTTTTTTTTTAAATAAATATTTTCAAATAGTACTAATAAAAATTGACCGTCAAAAATAGCTTTTTCCCCAAAAATATCTTTAGAACTTTGAGTAAAATACAAACTACTGCTCTAATATTAATAAAGATAATTTTTTAATTAATTAATTAACTATAACTACTCTTTAAATAACTTCTAATATAAAATTACTGAGAAAATATGAAAAATTTAACTAAACAAGCTATATAAATAAAGAGGGAATAAATGGGAAAGTTTTGTAGGAGAAGTAGGGGTAAATAAATACCTCAAGTGGACAAGTGGGAAATTAAATTTTGGACTCAAGAGGTACCATGTTTGACGAAAGCCGTGGACTCAGAAGCAATATATATTTTGTATATTTCAACGGTTAAAAAATATTTATTTTAATTTTTTTTATCAAATAACATTTTTTTAAAAAGTATATTGAAGAATTATAATTTATTTTTGACTAATTATTTTTGTTAATATTAATAAGTAGATTATATATGTAATCAATCTTTTAAAAGTGTCTTTAGTGTCAAATTATATAAAAAGAAAAAAAATAGATAAGTATTATGTAGGATATTTATCGGTGATTCGATTCAATCAGATCTTCGATTTTTTGGTTATGATTTTTATATGTGCTAAACGCTACTAAAATAATAAAATATTGATTAATTCGATTCGATTTATTATCTGTTGATTATTAATCAGATATGTTCAATGTTTCCGATCTCAAACATGACATTACACATTACAATCTTGAGGCATAAATTCCTTTCATCCATGGCCCATGAAAGGTCCAAATTCATCGAAGAAGAAACATTATAAATTCCTACGAATTGATAGGTTAACATATTATCACTTTTTATTAAGAAATTTACTTGCAATTAACTTAAAAATCGACCGCGTTTAGCCATAAATTGGTCAATAAAAATTTGAAATAGGTTTAGGAAACAATTCAATTTTCACTCAAAGAATTTGAAACTTTATTTTATGTCCAAAGCCAACTTCATTTTCAAATATATATATATTTAAAATCTTTACCAAATAATGTATTCCTAGCAATACTCTGTTATTCCAAAGAGACAAAGAGAAATAGAGAAGGAATACTAATACAATAAAAGAGAGAGAAAAAAAAGTGATTCATATTTACAGTCGACAGACTACTTCAAAAAGAAAAAGAAAATAAAAATAGAAACCAAAACAAATAAAAGGAAAAAAGATAGTGAAAATAATGATAGGATCATGAATTTCAAACTTAAACAAATTTAAAATTCAAAATACGATCGTGATTTTTGAAATTCATAACACTATCATGATAACGATGCAATCCATAAATGAGAAGGAGAAAAAACAAATTCTAAAAAAAACTCCTCACGCTCTCAAAATTCGTGAAGCACACATACTATATTAAATTAAAGAGAAGTGTCAAAAATGACCTAGAGAAGACCTCCTACAAGCGTTTAAAACGTATCAAATTTATTTGAGATGTCTAAGTGAAAAATCATGACAATAATAGAAATATTGGACAGTGAATTTCACCAATTTTACTAAATTATTATTTTTATTACAAATTTACTTACAATTAACTTTAAAAAATTGACTACATTTTGTCATATATATTGGTCAATAAAATTTGAAAAATTGAAATACGTGCTAGGATTTTTTAAACCTTTTCAGTTAGAAAATTTGAAACTTCATTTTTTTGTCCAAATCCAATTCAAATATATTCATTCTTTTTTCGACTTCATTTTATTTTTATTTATTTTTTAACCAAATACTTAATTACAAGTTTTATAACTAGGAGTAGCAGCATCCTCTGACTGGCCCGCATTTCGCTGTCTTTGTCTTGGTTGGCTGTATTTTCTTCTTTCCTTCTTCTTTTGTCTTCTCTTTTCACACTGTTTCAAAAAAAATTATATATAAATACATTTCTACGTATTTCAGGTAGCCTTCTCTGCTAAGAACTTAAATCGACATCCATGGAAGAGAGGAATTTCATTCCTGTAAAAACTTAGTACCAAAAGTTGTAAAAAAAGGCAACAACAACAAGTAGAACCTCATAGACTAAAATCCACTTCACATTCTTCTGCTTCTACTTCAACTCAAACTGATCCTTTATCCATGGTTTTATTTCTGTACCTTAATTCCTTTGTTTGTTTTTTTTTTTTTTTTTTTTTTGAGAGTTTTTTTGAAATTTTTTTGTGTTTGTTTTGCTTTCAGATTAAGACGGTGCAGTTGGATAGGAAAAAGATGATTCCTAAAAAGCCTAGAAGTGTTAAATCTAAGGCGAAGCAAGTGAGAACATTCAGTTTTTCATTGATGTTTTTTTGTTTTGGTCTAGGATCCAATGAACCTGATGCGTTATTCTATTTGCTATATTGATTTTTTTGTGCGTTTTCGATTTGTGCTTGACTTCCGATCTGATTAGGTTTGCTCCTAATTGTTCATGAATGCTTGGCTTGAAATCCATTAATTGGTTATGGATGTGGATGATAGTTGAGGCGGAGTCAGGATTTCAACTTTATGCGTTCTGAATTTTACAACGACGATGACTTCAAGTGATGATAATTGTGTTTACAATTTATTATATATACATGTTTAATGATTTTTTTTAAGCACAAATAAATTGTTTGAGCTAAAGCTAATGGGTTCAGCCGAACTCCTATCTGGGTTCTACCTCTGCCCTTGGATGATATATATAATTTCCTACTTGGAGATGGTGGGATTATCCGCTATGCTTTCGCTGCTATTTTGTTAACGAATGAGATGAATCCCTAGCCACCAACTGTACATGGTGGTTCTCGAAATGGGTCTGGATGGTAAGGAGATAGAGTAGGCGATTGCACGCTCTGTATGTGTACACTGGTGCAGGTTTCCTCCATTTGCAGCTGATTCCATGAGTTGTTCTCCTGCTTAATGCTACTTGTACCAAAGATAGGAAAGAGAAGAATGAAGAGGCTCCTTCGAGGAGTCAGAGTGGGAGCCTGCAACTCTAACCTTAACCCATGCTTTATGAAAGATGACTGGGGTCAAGGAATAAACGAAAGGCAGGGAAGATGTAAATGAAAAGGCTCACGGTGGGTGTGTATCCTTTGTAGAGCGTAGAGTGCTTACGAATCTGTGCAGGGTCACTAACTCATGTCTTCTTTCTTTTGTGTATGTATGTGTGTCTCTGCCCATATCCCTTTTTCTCCTGTTTCTTTTATTTCTCCTTGGTGTACTCCTAGTATTTCCTTGGTAAAGTGTATGTGTGGCCTCTATTTCCCCAAATGTTCCTTGGTGTCTGTGTCCCCTCTTGACAAATAAGTCATAGGTGATATAGTTGCTTATAGTTTGTTGGATAGTTGCTCTAGGTTGGTTGCCTATAGTGGTGCTCAATGGTATTCATTCTTCTTGTCTATGATAGACAACTAATTGAAGTTGACGAGACTTACTATGACTTGTTGATGGTGATTGTTCTGCCGTTTGATAGTATGCAAAGGTTTTTAAAATGGTAGTCTGGAAAGATGTGTTTTACTTGTTCCTCGAGTAAAATTATTGTGGTGATTACTTCATATTGAGCCTTAGATTTCCTCACTGATCATTGCTACTTCCATTTCTTGACTTTCTTTATGATTCACTTTACTAATGTTGATTGGATTATATTCGCTCATATACTGACAAGTTTGATAGTTAGAATAAACGTGAGATTAGGTGAAGATACACACAAGAGTGTAAAAATCTAGCTTCATACGAGAACTTAGAAACTCTGTGGTACTTAGTAGATCAGTTGATGCCATGTCGCCAAATATGCTACAAATACAAAATAGATGAACACTTCCCACAGATTACTGAACTGTTATTTTTATTGTACTAGCACCTTGAGTTATGTTTTCGTTAATTTTTCCTTAAAGTAGTTTTCTGCATGTTACGTGCACTTGGTCTACCTCTTAAAGCAGTAAATTCCTACATGCCTGGTCAAATGTCATTATTTATCTTATGATTTGGACATCTGTTAGGATGCAAGGTTTGAGGCTATTGGCTTAAAAATAGAGTGTCACATATAGTTTTTGATGAAATGGTGTGATTCCCTTTTCTTATTGATTGACTATGAATTGTAACAGAAATTTTTGCATTGTCTTACAGGTGAAATCTAATCATCCGAGGAAGGCTGAGAGGTTGGCACTTTATTTGACTTGCTTTTTCTCTTTCCTACCCCCAAATCTCCACTTTTCTCTCTTTCTTGATGGTTACTCATAAGCAAATTTCTGAATCTGTTGAATTCATAGCATTAAACGTAAGGGGTCAAAGAGGACAAGGATTAATGACCTTTATGATGATGTTGAAGCTAAATATTCTGTTATGGAGCGAGCAGAAAAGGTTTTATCAAGCCTACCAGATGAATTTCCCAGCTTTGCAAAGTGTATGCTCCCTTCGAATGTTGCTCATGGATTTTGGCTGGTAAGTCTGAAATCATATAACCTCTTTGCAGTAAAAACTTAGTAGAGATAGAATTTAAACAATTTTTCTTCTTCTTCTAACTTCATTCCTTTTTGTAACGGTAGCATCTTCCAAAGTCATTCTGCAACATGCATTTACCTAGTTCTGATACCACAGTCATTTTGGTTGATGAATGGGGCAATGAGTACAAGACAAGTTATCTTCTAGAAAGGAATGGTTTAAGTGCTGGTTGGAGAGGATTTTCCATCTCTCACAGACTACTTAAAGGAGATCTTTTGATTTTTCGCTTGATTGAACCTTGCAAAATGAAGGTAACCTTTCAAATTCTTGATACCTACATAGGTTTAAGCCTAAACTTTTCTTTGTTATTGGAGGAATGGAGATATTTTGTTTCATCTAATAAAGATGACCTCTTAGACTTGCTTGTAATTTTACTTTTAATGTTTGTATATAATATTTATATTGAGTTTGGTAAAGAGGCATCTATAATAATTGTTCAAAAATTGAAAAAAGTAGAATAGTTAATTATCGATTTCATGTTGAGTTTAAATAACATTAACTTACTAAGTACTTTATATTGGTTATAAAAGATAATACTTACTCTGACTCAATCTATATGACACTTTTCTTTTTAGTCGGTCCCAAAAAGAATAAAACATTTCTGGCAAATATTTATAATGAAATTATCAACATTTTACCCATATTGGGTCCTACTTGTTTGGCAAAAAGCCCACAAAGGTGTACTATTCAAGGGTAGTATTGGAACATTGCAAAATCTTTCCATTTTCTTCAACTCCATGCCCAGTCAAACTACATCACATAAATTAGTACAGAGGGAGTACTAACTTTATATAAGTTTGCCTTCTTGGTTGGGGTGAGGGGGATTTTCAACTCAAGGAATTGGCGGAGAACAACAACAACATACCTAGTGTAATCCCACTTGGGTCTGAGGAGAGTGGTTTGTACACAGACCTTATCCCTACCTTGTGAAGGTAGAGAGCTTGTTTCCGATAGACTCTCATCTCAAGTAAAACATCTTAAAGTATATATGAAAAGGGAATATAGTAGTGAAGAAGCCATAATGAAAATAATGGAGAAAAAAAACAGTAGCAACAAAAAATAATACGATATCGAAGCAAAGGAAACAACATGTAATAAAGAAAAATCGAAGAAAAGATAACAGAGGGTAGTAGTAATAATATTGATAAAGAAAACTAGACAATGCTCAACTACCTACTAGCCTTTGACTAATCATTTTCCATATCCTTCTATCTAGATGCATGTCCTCGTTAAGCTGCAAGTATATCATGTTTTGTCTAATCTCCTTTCTCACATATTTCTTCTGCCTGTCTAACTTCTCCTCAGACCCACCATGGCCAACCTTCCACAACTTCTTACTAGGGCATTTATACATTTGCTCTTCACATGCCCGAAGCATCTTAGTCTCACTCTCTGATCTTGTTCACCATAGACGTCACTCTCACCTTGTCTCGAATTTCATCGTTCCTAATCATATCTCTCCTTGTATATGCCCACACATCAATATCAACATCCTCATTTCTGTTATTTTCATCTTCTAGACGTGCGAGTTCTTAATTGGTCAACCGCCTCATACAATATAATTGATCTAACAACCTCTTTATAAAACTGATCTTTATATCTTAGTGACACATTCTTATCACACAAGACACCATATGTGAAACTTCATTTCATCCACCCCGCTTCAATACGATGTGTACCACCAAATCCGATGTCCCAATACTAGATCTTCCAAAATCTAGCTAGATTTAACATAAGGGTCTAATTTGCCGATGGGCCCTACTTGTTATTGGCTATTGGCAAAATAAATATTGAAATCCATTTTTGACTATGGGTTAATTTTGGCCAAAAAAAGTCAAAATTGCAGCCAAGGCTGACAGGTTAGGGGGTAAAACTCAGCATAAGTTCTGCTTGCAAAATTAAGGTTGTAGAATATGATAATTTTACTGGCTACTGATTGATTATCTTGCGAGTTAAACTTGACTTGATTGCTTCGACAGTTTTTGAAAGAACTCGTGGATTTTTGGCAATGAAAATGATAGAAGGTAAATTGAGGCGGGAAAGCAATAGGAAGTCTAATTTTTTTAGAATCTGTGATAGTGTGATTAAGTGGGGCTCTTTTAAACTCTTACGATCCTTCCGCATGTATGCTCAACCACAATAACCTTAAGAAATAGGTTTCATTTATGCATTTTCTGATTATTAAGAATGATGTTTCTAGGTCTATATAGTCAGAGTAAATGGTCAAGAAGTGGTAGATGCAGCTCTTTGCCTCATGAATTGGGAAACTCTGAACACATCACTTGGTAATTTTGTCCTTTCTGCTTGTCCACCTTTATTGCTTTAAAGGTAGAGGATATCCAGATTTGGTTGTTGATCTCCCTTCTTCTTTCTTTGCTTCTTGTTTTGAATGAGAAGATCTTGTACGGAAAGATAATAGGAAGCGAAAGAAAGCAAAGCATTTGGCAGAGCCTTTTTTCGTTGATTTATCTAAACCAAAAGAGCATGTTCAGAATGACAGCCATTGTGCTGTTGATTTAAATGTTTCACCTTCAGAGCATCAATCTGAAAATAACAGTGAAGATTTGGATTCCGAGGTTCTTGAAGGTATGAAACACTCTTAACTCCATTGCATTATAAATGTATTTGGAGACCACTATGATGTGCAAGGGTCCATTGCAGGTTCGGATGTGACCAACCGCTTGCAATCTAATGAAATATGCTGCTCCGAAACATCATTTTTACATGATAACCCTCACAAGAGCATAGCTTGTAGGTAGAGATGGCGGAGGACTCTGACCATTCGTTTGTACTAACAAGTTCTATCATGAGAAGCTGTGAAGAATTACAACAAAGAACAACTTATAGTTACCTCAGAAGTAAAGAGAACAAAAGTTTTTGATGAATATATATATGACAAAGGGCTGGAATGAAGCAGAAGTGAAGATCTTTTTTGGATGTATAATGCTTTTGTGCTTCTAAAAACTATACTACTTAATACCTTGCCCTATAGGTTTGAAAGATGTAATTTTGAGATGATAGCGTATGATATGTACACTTTTCATATTTGTACATAGACGCACACAGGAAATGTAGTTTGCATATCTGCACAACTGTACTAATCAATGAATTTCTTTTATTCATTTGAAATTTACAAATTCAAATTTGTTCGAAAATCATGTTTTACTTTGTATTTCTCGTTAGGTGATATGCAGTTGAGTTGAGGATTTTTCGAAAACTCTCTCTATCTACATGAGATAGTTACAGTATGCACACACTCTGCACTCCTCAAACTCCACTAGTAAGAATATATTGGATATGTTGATGTAGTTAGGATAATAAAATCCTTATTACGTGTCTCACACCACTGATACTAATTTTATGGCATCTCTTTTTGGTCTCAGGAAAAAGTGAACTCAAATCTTATACTTTTGAGTCCACTTTATTTGTGAAAGAAAAGTTTTTTTTTTCTTTTTAATCTTTGTCTTGCATTACTTGTTTGAGAAAAAAAAGGATTAATACTAATATTGTCCAATGAGACATATCACCAATTCACCCTACTTTTTTATTATTCAATTTGATATTATATATTGATGATTTATTATTTAATCCTTTAATTAGAAAAAAAGATCAAAATATAGAAAAGATTTTAAAATAAGTGTAATTAATAGATTAAAGAGAGGAATTTAAGAAAATAAAATAAATATCAATAATTGATAATAAAAGTTATACTATATTTTTTACAAATACTTTTGTCAAAAATTAAGGGGGAAGAATCAAAATTTTAGGAAAAAAGATAAATAATGAAGTTGCCCATAGTTTCACCTTACTTTTTTATTATCCAGTTTCAATAATATATATATATATATATAGATGATTAATTCTTTAATGTTTTAATCAGAAAATAAGAAAAAATATACATGGAATTTTTTTTTTAAAAAAGGAAAAAATATAATTAATAAATTGAAGAGAGGCATTTAAGAAAATGAAATTAGGAAAGTTAATACATTTTTTAGAAGTTTTTTTGGTCAAAGCTTAATATTATAAACAGATTATAGTTTGTATGATTAATTATTTTAAATTAGAAATAAGAGAAAAATAGAGAACGATTTTTTAAAAAAGTGGAAAAAGTATAATTAATAGATTGAAGATAGACATATAAGGAAATGAAATGAAAAATGGAAAAAATATAATTAATAGATTGAAGATAGACATATAAGGAAATGAAATGAATATCAATAGTTAATAAGCAAAACTATATATTTTTTACAAGGAAAAAGTTCAAAATTCTAAGAAAATAATAAGTAATAGTGATGTTGTCATCAAATATGTCACCTCGCTCTTTTATTGCTTAGCTTTAATTATTATATGTAACAAAACTCTTTACATGTCTTACAAAAATTAACTATTCATAACTCACCCCTCTCTAATTACCACTCTTAATTAAAAAATCTTTTTCTTTTGACATTTTTTTAATTATTAAATGACAATATATTTTAAGTATTTTTCTTTATTTGGGAATTTAGATTGTTTGCTAAAAATACTAATAAGTAATAAGACAATAAAAAGTTGTATGATCGAACAATTATTGTCACGTTTTTTCCTAAATATTTTTTTGACAATATCTATGATCAAACATGTCCATAATTTCATGTCCAAATAAATTATTATATTCAATTTGGTAAAAAAGAAAATATTATTAAAACTTATTATCTAATCCAAACAACAAAATTTAATAAAAAAAGAAATTTTATCAAAACTTATGGTCTAATCCAAAATTTTAGATATTAGTGCAAGTATTATATGAGAGTCTAGAGAGCTAGTGGCATTTGAAATTCAAAATATATAAATTGGAGCCAAACGAGGCATTGTTATATTATATTCTCCATAAATCGAGGGTTTTAAATTATCCTTTGCAGCATCTTTGTCCGATCATCTTCTTCTTTTCCCCCCTCTCTCCCCTTCTACTCCCTAGTTTTGTTGAAACGTTTTCTGCTTTCTCTAACCAGAAAAATGGCGGAATCACAGAAGAAGCTAACTTACGAAGAATGCCGATTGAAGAGAATCGAAGAGAACAAGAAGAGATGGCAAGAGCTGAAGCTAACTATGCTCGCTGAAGATGTTCACAAAGCTACGAGCCCTAAGCCCTCTCCTGTATGCCTCTCTTTCTCTCTGTGTGTCTCTCTCTCGTTTATGCTTGTAGTTTATGTGAATGCACCTCGAATAGAGCGGAATAGATATAGACGATGTTAACTAGTTTGGGAGTGCGGTGTAATTGATTGATCGATTTATCGTGTACTTATTCGTTTAAATGTGATTTTGGGTATTTTAGATGAAGAAGGTGAAGCCGACGGTTAGGCAGGAGGTGGATCGCTCTGCTGTGAGAAGGTCCAATCGTGTTGCGGATAAACCTCCTCCCAACTATAAAGAAGTAAGCTATTTCCTTTCTCTGTATCTTACTACTGTTTCCTTTGGACTTCGTTTATTCGATTTTTTTCCCCGGACCTAGTATATCAGAAGTGTTTTCCACTTATTCCGGTGTAACTTGACCCATAAATAGGAGATAGATGTGGGTTTCCACTTAGTATCTTTCATGTATACTTTAAATGAACATTTATTATATAGCTATGTGTCTAAAGAACCATATGCAGCTCACATGCCATAAACCTAATTGTCACATCAGCCATAAGTCCCATAACATTCCAGTCCAGAAACTCTACCTGGCTTAGTGGTAAACCACATCTATCTCCTATTTACGTTACCAGTTCCAAAAAAAGAATATAGTAGATAATATTTTGAATCATCCATGTTGATCATTGTGTCTGGACATGTTTGCCATCGTCATGGTAATTTTGTATCATCTATACCTCTACAGATGAACATTCTTAGTGGGTGTTTGGATTGAATTATTTTAAGTAGCTTTTGGCTTTTTAAGTTCTTTTTTATTTTAGTTTAGTTAGTGTCGGAGATTGTGTATACCTTTTTGTTGTATAAGCATGTAATGGAACATTGCTCACCTGATACTTCTTTATAGTCTATGAGTGCGTTGGGTATGAACTATGATGGAAAATGTTTTCCCCTGAATTTGATTTCTTGGAAAACAAGTGGGTTTCTTACTTATTTTCTATTATCTGGTAAGTAAGCAAGAAAAAATATTATCCCAAGGACAATTATATGTTATCTAGCAAAACACTATGGAGGTGGAATGAGATGGGGAATGGGCGGTGGGATGGTCAAGGGGTGGGGGTTGGGTGGATTAGGTGGGTGGGAGGAGATAATAAATTTGGAATATCACTTGTACAACTTGTTATCCCTACTTTCATTTGGGAAGACATCTTCCTCATTTTTAAGGAACTTGTTTTCCTAAAGAAAATATTTTCCATTCATTTTGATCAACCAAACATAGGGAAAATGATGTTTTCCTCCATACCACACACACCCTATATTGTGGGTGTATATTCCTTTAATTCATTTGGGTTGCTTTGTCATAATCAACACTATAGTTGTTGACATGGAAATCTCTCTTGAAAGGGCAATGCATAGTTGGCCATGTGAGAATACATGTTGCAGTAGATACAGTCCAACATTCAGGATTGTTTGTCCTAGTGTTTTATTTATCGTCATATCAAAGAATAGTCGAATTGGAAATTGTTTGCGAACAAATTTGAAAGGATATCTTTCATTTTCAGGTGGTGGAAGATAATTTCTCGAAATGCACATCTGCTTGTCATTGGATTGTTAGATTGTAATTTTTGCATGTATGATGTTGTTGAACCCGTGGCGATCCATTCGTGAGTCATTGCATGATTCATCTGAAGGATCCAAATTCCTAAGTAGGATGATTGGCACATTTTCTTTTAGAATTAACTTGTTTAAGGGAAGACAAATATGGTTAACTTCCCAGTCATGTTTTCTACACATTACCTGTGTGGTGGATGACCATTTGGTGTTAAAGTATTCATGTATTTTTCTTGATAGTGTCAAAACATATACATACTTTGCTATCTCTGGGAAATTTCTATACCAACATCTCGTTTAGTTGATCCACATATTCCTTTCGACTTGCTAAGTTTGCCCCATTTGTTATAAACTTTGCCAAATTGACATTTTGGTGTAGTGATGAGAATATTTCTGATATTTAGCTTTCCTATGTAATAGTATCACCTTTGTGTTTGACAACCATTTCTTCTGGTATTAGTATCAAGCCATTCTTTAATGTTTGCTCTTCCTCGTTTCTGACATGGAGTAAGAAGTCACTGGATTTGGAATCTACCAGTGTTATTAAATGCAAAAATGCTCTAAGGTCCATGGGGCTTTAAGCGCAAAATGCAAATAAAGCCTGGACTTTAATGTAAAAAGGCGCAAAGGAAGAAAAGAATACAAATATATATGTTTTGTCCAAAACTAATAATTATAAACATGAATGACAAATATATGACCAAAGAAATTGAAAAAAATTATGATAAAGTGAAATATCAATTATTTAGTGTCACTTCTTCATAAGAGGCTCATTGGCAAGGAAACGTTTTCCTTAGAACGTTGATGACAACACTGAAGCGCACATAAAGCAAGACAAAGCGCTCAAAACGTTTTGAGCCTCGCTTCACTTCATCACGCTTAAGGTGCACCTTTGATAACACTGGGATCCACACTTGCTCGCATATGTCTTGAAGTGGATTTTCTCCATCAAAGGCCACAAATAATATCTCATCTAACTGGCATTAAATGTCTCTGTTCGTGTAGATTTAGGAACAATTGGAAGTACTTGCCGAAAAATCGCTTCCGAAGACCATGGCTTTTCCACCAAACGATTCATTGACATCCATTATATCTCTAAAGCTCCTGTCAATTGTTTTAATTGTGTGACACTTGGCCATGAGTGCTTCGTCCCATATTATTATTTTAGTTGCTCGCTCAACTTAGCATCTCCACTTTGTGTTGACATTTTCGTCATACTTGTATCAGTAAGGTCCATGGGATTTAAGCGCAAATAAACCATGAGCTTTAATGCAAAGGAAGAAAAAATACAAATATATATATATATATATGCTTAGTCCAAGACTAATAATTATAAACATGAATGACAAATATATGACCAAAGAAATTGAAAAGCAATTATGATAAAGTGATATATCAATTGTTTAGTGTTACTT